AAAATAAGAGATATTTCATAACGTTTATAGATGATTTTTCTAGATACACCTATGTATACCTTATGAGAACTAAGGATGGAAGCATTTGACATGTTTAAACTATACAAAATTGAAGTTGAAAATCAATTAGAAAATTAAATTAAAATCCCTAGAAGTGATAGGGGTGCTGAATACTTTAAAAATGAGTTTAATTCTTTCTGTGAAGAGTTTGGAATAATACATCAGTGTTCTGCTCCCTATACCCCTTAGCAGAATGGCCTGACTGAAAGGAAAAATAGAACACTTACAGAAATGATAAATTGTATGTTGATGAAAGCTAATGCACTATTGAACTTGTGGGGGAAAGCACTCCTAATAGTCTGTCATTTACATAATAGAATTATTTCTAGAGTTAATAATAAGTGTCCATATGAACTATGGATATGAAGGAATCTTAACTTAGCATACCTAAAAGTGTAGGGGTGCTTAGTATACTACAGAGTTCTAGACCAAAAAAGAACTAAATTAGGACTCATAGCAAAAAGAAGTATATTTGTTGAATATGCAAAACATAGCAAGGCCTATAGGCTTCTAGATTTAGAGTCCAACATAATTATTGAAACTAGAGAAGTTGAATTCTTTGAAAATAAATCGTGTTCTGAATCCACAAGAAATGAATCCACAGAAAATGACAGAGAACTAGGAAGAGAAACTCAGATCTCAATACTCATTGGCAATAATGAAACTGAAAGAAGAAATGACACAACTATAACACCTACAATAGAACCTAGAAGAAGTCAAAGACAAAGAACAGAGAAACACCAATCAAGTGTATTTTTGGTCGAGGCTAATAGAGAAGATTTGAAATAAGATACCCATTGTAGTGAACATTGAAAATGATCCAAAGACCTACAGTGAAGCCATGACCTCTAGAGATGTTGCATTTTGGAAGGAAGCTATAAATGATGAAATGGATTCAATAATGTCAAATAATGCATGGGTACTAGTAGACTTGCCTCTAGGATCAAAACTAATCAAATGCAAATTGGTGTTTAGAAGAAAATACAATATTAATGGAATTGTACAAACTTTTAAGGCTAGATTGGTAGCCAAAGAGTTCAGTCAAAAGGAAGGGATTGACTATTTTGACACCTATGCACCAGTGGCTAGAACAACCTCTATTAGAACACTTGTAGCACTAGCATCCATTTATCACTTATATGTTCATCAAATGGATGTTAAAACTGATTTCTTAAATGGCGGTTTAAATGAAGAAGTCTATATGGAACAACCAAAAGCATTTGTTCTTCCTAGAAATGAGAAGAAAGTCTATAAATTGGTTAAATCTCTATGTGGTTTAAAACAAGCACCCAAACAATGGCATGAGAAATTTGATTCTTGCATTATAGCTTTTGGTTTTAAACACAACAGTGTTGATAAGTGCATTTATTCAAAATTTATTGAAAATTGTGGTGTAATCAAGGTTCAAAATATCGATACGTCCGATATGCTGGTGTGGACGTATCGGGTGAATCGATACTATTTGTTTTTTGTTTTATTTTTTCTGAAACCAGTTCAAGGGGGCCGGTTTAGGTCTCCTCCATCCCCAGAACTGGTCAGACCCCCGATACACCCACTATAGGGGCATATCGGTGGGGTCCCGGAATGATACGTATCGACCGATACGGGCCAATACGTGTCATTACTTTGAACCTTATGTGTAATTGTATGTCTTTATGTTGATGACATGCTTATTGTGGGTACTAATATGGTTGGCTTAAATGAAACAAAAAACTATTTATCCTCTATCTTCAAGATGAAAGATTAAGGAGAAGTAGATACCATCTTGGAAATAAAAGTTAAAAAGCAAAGTAGGGGTTATGCATTAAGCCAATCACATTACATTGAGAGAATCCTTGAGAAATTTAAGCGTTTAAGGTTTAAAGAATATAGCACATCATATGATTCTAGTATAAAGCTAGTAGAAAATTTTGGTAGAGTAATTGCACAACTTGAGTATGCTAGTGCAATAGGAAGTCTGATGTATGCTATGCTTTGACAAGGCTCTGAGATATCTATACTAATAAAATGTTTAAGTTGTTAAACACCTTTTGTATGCATAATTGTGTCATAGTATTTGGATTGAGAGAGACCTTTGTAATTGATCAATCAATGTGGGGGACTATTGGATTTTAATCTCATTAGAGATTAAATCCAATGGATTTGATTGGTCAATTACATGAGAAATTGCACCTGCACAATTGTTTTAAAAAATAGCTTTTCTCTTACTAAGACCAACTTTGAACTTGTCCCACATTGGAAAATTATAAGTTTTGTTTTGAGTTTTTTAATAGAAGTTGATTTACACTCCTTAGAAATAGAAGAGGAGAGTATGGAGGCTTGCTACTACGCACGCATGTGCGCGCGTGTGTGCGACGCAATGAAGCACTTTAGAGATGCACTTTGCTCGCACTTTGCATGGCTCGCGAATGGTTGCTTTGGCTTTTTGGTGCGATGCTGACCATTGATGTGATCAACGACCACGATTCGATCGGATGTGATCAAGGGGCACAATTTAAAGTTAATAGTCATTAACTGTTAACTACCTTTTAAACAGTCACAATGTTTAAAATTGTGACTGTTCAAGGTGCCTTTCTTTGAACCAGCACCTTCCTGTTCTTCATAACTCTTTAGAAACTACAATTTCGAAAATCACTTTTTCTTTCTCTCTCTCTCAATCCGGTTTGCTAGTCTCATAGAAGGTTTCTTCGGAGACTCTTCAACTTTGCTGATTGCAAATTCTCGCCCAAGACTCTATTGTATCCTGAGAATGGATTTGCTTGTAACCCAATAGTAAACTCAATGAAACTGAGTGGAGGCAAACAACGTTCTAAAGACAGTATCTTCAAACGTGCCTCAAAGCTTCTCCTCCATGTTTCAGAGACCCCAACTTCGCAACATCCAATGCCGCCCAGGCTTTAGCTTCGTTGATGGTACAAACACCTATATCTTTGCAACTGATTCACTTCGTCCTTCCAAACTCATCTCTCATGGTCACCCCAACTGCATTCTTGCCATTAGGCTTCCTCGAGGTATCAAAGTTAATCTTCATATACCCACACTACTTGGGTGGGCCCATTTTATGGACAAACTTGTATTCTTTTGTTGTTTATCCATTACGGTTGATGGACTGCTTTTCGTTAATTCATTCTAATCATCAATGTTTTTTTGAACAATACGTCTATGAGGGACTAGGGCATTTTTAAAAATTCTTTCATTTCTTCTCTTTCAGATATGCCAAATGGCAGATCCCACCAATTCTAAATCCCCATTCCCGATTATGTTTGTTCCTTTACTTTTTGTTTCCATATTGAACCACCAATCCGTGAACTGGTCATTTTGCTGAGGCATTGGATTATAATTATTTAAATTTGTCCAAACGTTTTGGGCATCTACACAGAGGAGAAATAGATGGTTAATATTCTCTATTTCTCCGCAGAAAGGGCAATTTGCATCGCTCCTTATTCCCCATTTATTGAGTCTTTCATTTGTTAGGATTTTTCCTTTTAAAGGCAAGAAGATGAAATATTGGATTTTCATTCTACTGTCCCTATTATCTTCGGTATCTCTTTCTCAAAATGTCTATAGACCGATTTCATTGTATGGTATCCCTTTGGGTTTGGGTTCCAAATTATAGTATCAGTCCTCTTATTCGACGGGATGAGGACTGCCCAAATTTTTTCCCATATCCCCAGAGATGTTTCCTGAAGAATTTTTTCCTTGTTCCATGTGTTATTATCATTGATGAAATCATTTACTTTAATGTCCTGTCTAACTTGGGAGTTGGTTAGAACGTCTTCTAGTTTATCTCTCCCGAACCAAACATCTTTTCAGAATCTAATAGATTTCTCATCACCTAGCTTCCAGTTGATGCCTTTTTTGAGAATCTCTCTGAATTCAAATATTCCCCTCTAGGCCCAAGATATATATCTATATACCTTCCCACAAGTCCATACTTTTCAAATATTTTTCTTTGACAATTTGGACCCATAAGTTATCGGTTAAGCGAGTACTTTCCATCCCAATTTTGCAACACTGACTGCATTAGTCCATTTCAGGTTCTTTACTCCCTCCCCATCCTCCATTAATCTTGGAGGTACAAATCTTTTCCAACTTGAGTAAGTTTAAGCCCTTTTTTCCTTGCTTCTTGAAGCCTCTTTGTTTCCTTTTTTATTGTGTCTGTCTATTGTACCCTTGGGAAGCTTGAAATCTCTCATAAGGAATTGAGGAAGGAGTACTTAGAGAAGCTTTGAGAAGGGTTATTCTGCCGGCTTCTCTTCCAACCAGCAAGCTTCGTATCCATTCTTTCCTCTATTTGTTTAAAAGTTCCTCTAGTGACCCTTCCTTCTATAACTGGGGCATCCAAATAAATCTCTTTTTTTTTCTACAGATTTTTAGAATATTTGTTAAAATTCTTTAGAATCTTCTATGATTATTCCTAGAGAAGAAAATAATAGATTTAACAAAATTTGGGCTCTGAACAGAGGCCTTAGAATAAATTTCCGTAATTCCCTTGATCTTAACCACATTATCCATATTGGCTTTTGCAAAGATGATGCAATTATCTGCAAATTGTAGGATGGGAACATTGGGTCCACCTCTCAAAGCTATAAAGCCTAGGATCTCTTTTCCCTTCGAGGTCATTCAGTATCTAATACAATTGATACTTTTTTTTTATTCAGTTCCTTCAAGGATAGTTGTATTAGGAGGGTTTCTAACATTTAAATGCATAGAAACCCCCTAAATCTTTGTATTTAGTTCTCAGTGACCCTGAAAACCGATATATCGTACGATTACTTTGAACCATGATACCAAGGAAGATTATAGTCCGAACACATCATTAAATTAAAAAGGCAACAAATAAACCCGCTATGACAAAATATGGTTTCTTGACAGCATTGTACGAGGAATTTATCAAAACTCATCAACAGTTGTGCAGCAAGCGCAACGGAACAAATCAGTAGTCAAAGCACAATATTCTATTTCCCATCAATTATTTGATTGAAATTTGACACTATGTAAGCTCACATTGTTACAGAGCGCGATTAAACTTGAGCTTCTGGAATAAATGAGAAAAATATAATGTAGATAGCTCTAAAAGCAAAATTGCAGGCCAATTCAAGGTTCTTTAGGAAAAAACCAATTTGGTTCCAATAATACCACCATCTAAATACGAGGCATGTTCAATGGCATTCCATTACCGGTTCATTATACAATAGTCTATCTGCTAGGAGCATTATATCTCTTTGACAGAACACTTCATTCTCCTTCACTAAGAATTGGAACAATTAGCGGTTTCATTTGAGCAAGATATACAATAGCCCACCTAATAAAAGAAGGAAAAGGCATCAAATTATTATCAGCTCAGAATAATTTCCTATTCATATATATTAACATGAAAGTACACAAGTTAACCACAATACAGTATCTCAAAAATTATCGTGCGAGTACAAAACAATTAACGTTGATAGAAATAATTATAATATTTCTGAAGAACAAAGTAATCAAAGTGGGAAAGGTATTTACTTTTTCAGAATAAAGAATATTCCTTATAAATGAATAAAGCTATCAAGTCTACATAAACTGAGAGTATGTCCTATTAGCCTTCTATACCTGATCATATATCACCACACCTCGAGGGACACTATAGCTTCACCTCCTTGGCTACATTTCCCCTTTTAAGAAGAAACCTTCAACTTGGTTTTAACATCACCAACACATTTAACTTAAAGCATTTTCAACCTCCTAACTTAACCAACTCCACTCAGCCAAGCCTTGCCCATAGTTGTCAAGGTAACCTAGGTTCCTTTGGCTGGGAGCCTACCTAGGCAACAAAAATGACAAGGCATGTGCCTTGCTAAAATACTATTCATATTGATACATTTTACTAATATGCCTGTTGAGATACTTATAAAAAAGTGGAAAACTCACCCTAATTAAAAGTGTGTTACCCTACAGGGTGGCAAACACTTGGAAAAAAAGGCTGGGGAACTTTCTATGGACTGAATGGAAGGACAAGTTCAAATTTCACTTCATGAATTAGAACAAAGTTTACTCCTGAAGAAAATCTGGGGATTTGGCTGTGAGAAAATTGGAAAAAGTTCTGGAGATTTAACGAGGAAACTAGCAGCTTATGGAGGCAAGTGATTGCATGCAAATATTGGTCGAGTAATAGAAGCTGGAACACAGGGCTAACTCTTAATCCTATGGGATGTGCAGTATGGAATGGCATCCAAAAAGCTTTTGATGATTTCCTCCGAAGACATTAAATTGGAAAGGGGAATGGGTTTCGGTTCTGGACTGAAAAACGGTGTGGGGAATCATCATTGGAGTCTCTATTCCCAACTTCATATGAAATAGCCCAAGATAAAGATGCCCTGGTTGAGGAATGCAATGAATTGAATGAAAATGGAGTCACTTGGGGACCCCTGTTTCAGAAGAAATCTAAATGATAAGGAAATTCAGCAAAGGACAGACCTACTAGGTCTGTTACATAAAGAAATGTTGAATATTCTGGCACAGATAAAGAAAATGGGCTTGGAAAGAGTCAGGACATTTCACAGTAAAATCTTAAAAAATAAAAGTTTGGGACTGCTCTATAGTACAACTCTTCTGATCATTGTCAAACTAGTTTTCCAAACCAAGGAAATTTTCTATGGTGTCTTGTGGGTGAGAATTCTGAGTACCAGGAAGCTGTTACCACTCAATGAAAGTTTACATTCAAGGAACCAGAGTACAGGTAGGAATCCTTTTGATGGTAGTCAACCAACTCACTTGATGTAAAGAATGCCTTCTTAAATAGGGATTTGCATGAAAAAGTATACACGTCCCTTCCTCCTGGAATGCATGGTGATGAGATGTAGGGAAAGTGTGTAAATTGCGAAAATCACTTTATGGTCTTAAGCAATCTCCTAGAGCATGGTTTGAGAGGTTTTGGGCAGCCCTTGTCAGTTTTGGCTAATACCCAAATACAATCAGATCATAACCTCTTTGTCAAGAGTAGACCTACTTCTGTCACTTACTTGATTGTTTATGTGAATGATATAGTAGTGATTGGTGATGATTGCAGTCACTATTGGAGGAAATGGGCATTAGCTATTATAAACCACTAATGTTGTACTGTGATAATCAGGTTGCCATCAATATAGCACATAACCCTATACAACATGATTGGACCAAGTTCCTGGACATGTGATCTCTCCTCTTCTTTTCTCCTTTTTCAGGGCTGCGATCTGGGTTACACAAAGTAGAAGGCTTCGGAAACCCTTTTTGGTGATTCCAGGACTGCCACATGTCAACAGGCCCATAGCAGAACCATAGGCATAGGAGCTGGACCACGAACCCACTTGCGAGAGAAGATGAGAAGTTCCTTCTTAGTAGTGGATGATGGAGTATCATGTTGTTCAAAATCATGCAAAACTGAAACAGAGGGTGCAGATAACTTGGCAATTCCTGAAAAAAAAGGAGATATGCTCAAGAAAAATCACATTTTGAGAAATACGAATACGACGTGCTGAGGGATTGTAACAAAAGCACACATGACACACTGAGCTGAAAGCTTTGAACGTTCACGAGGAGGAAGATGAACAAAGCATAGTCACCCAAAGACATGAAGATGGGAAAGATCTAGGTGGGATCCAAACATCTTTTGATGAGGAGAAATGTTAGCAAGCACAGAAGATGGGATACAATTGATCAAATATACTACAATGCTAGCGGCCTCAACCCAAAATGTGGGAGGCACATGTGATTCTTGTAGGAGAGTCCTTACAACACTGAGAATGTGACCATTCTTTCTTTCTGCCACACCATTTTGTTGAGGGGTGTCTGGGCAGCATCGATGGACTTGTATGCTATGATGTTTCAGGTAAGCCAAAAATTCTCCATCACTTTATTCTCCCCTTGAGTCTGAGCGTAAGGTTTGCACATTCACTTGGAAACAAACTTGAACAATGTTATGAAACAATGAAAATGTTGGAAAAACTTCTTATTTGTGTTTGAGAAAATAAATCCAAGTGTACCTGGTATAATCATCAATGAATAGCACAAAATACTTGTATCCCATCCGAGAAACAACAGAAAGAAGTCCAAACATCACTATGAATAATTTCAAAAGACGAAGTAGCATGTTCAGCTCGGTGAGTGAACGGTAAAATATGGCTCTTACTCAAACAACAAGAAACACAAGATGTATCAAAGGATTTCATAGAAGGAATTTTAGTTTTAATAAAACCAGACTCAAATAAGTATTTAAGTTTTTCAGAATTTGGTCCAAACATCACTATGAATAATTTCAAAAGACGAAGTAGCATGTTCAGCTCGGTGAGTGAACGGTAAAATATGGCTCTTACTCAAACAACATGAAACACAAGATGTATCAAAGGATTTCATAGAAGGAATTTTAGTTTTAATAAAACCAGACTCAAATAAGTATTTAAGTTTTTCAGAATTTGGGTGGCCCAAGTGTTTATGCCACAAATCCCAGACATAGTTTCTCTGACTCAAAACAAGACTCAATGTAGAAGAGTTCAAAAAAGCAGAGGATGATGCTGATGGAGATTTCCCAAATTCCAATGCAAACAAACGACCCATCCTACACCCCTTTCCTTTCACCTTCCCAGTGCACTGGTCTTGAATCAAACAACCATCAAAGGAAAATGTTAGAATATGACCTTCATCAACTAATTGACCAACTGAAATAGGGTTGGCAGTAAGTTTAGGAACAAGGAAGGTTTTAGCAAGGTACAAGGAATTTAAGGGGGAAAGTTTGATACACAAGTCATCACTCCCAATGATGTCAAGTTTCTCACCATTAACAGTGACGATATGTTTATGGTTGGTCTCAGACAGTATGTTTGAACGTTTAGGATAGGCCAATCATATGATTTGTAGCACTAGAATCAATTATCCAAACGTGAGAGGAAGAAGAGCAATAACCGGAGAACTCTCCAAATAGACCGATAGCAGAAAAGGCACATGAGATGGCAGAGGATACCACTTGTATCTCTTCCTTGTTCATGGAAGCAAAGGATTCTCCCTTGGCAATAGGGGTATCGGACACTCGTCCCTCAAACGCCTGATAAGCTTGTGGTTGATTCTTCTTCATGGGTCCCTTGGGTGGACGAAATTTGGAATGATATGTCCATGTTGTTTGCAATATGTGCATACATTCTGGAAGAGTTCCTCAACTCAAAATATTTGACCTGATTATTTCATACTCAGGTCTCATCCTCATGAGAAACTGGTTAACTTTCCTATTTTCAAAATGTTTCTACAAATACTTGACACATTCAACGGGATCAGAATGTTCAGTATGAACAAGTTCATATTCATCCCAGGGATCAATAAAGCTTTAATAGTATTCTTGTATCTTTTTGTCCCTTGGCAATAAACAAAGATTTCAGATTCAATCTGGTATTGCCATGACATATTGGACTGATGATAAAACTTTTTCAAATAGGCATACATCTCATAGGCAGTCCTCAGTCTTCACATAGGAACACTAATGTGAGGCACAATGGAGCTCAAAATCCAGGAGACTAACTTTCCGTTGTCTAGTTTCCATTGTGTATAGGCTTTACTATCAGCTCAGCCTCATCAGGTTTACATACAGTCCCATTCAAGTAACCTTCAAGTACATTTCCCTCAACATAGAAATCAAAATTGAACTTTCATATATTGTAATTAGTTCCATCAAATTTTACAGGGAGAAAATCAACATTTTCAGCCATCATAAATGAGCAAAAAAAAAAACCCAAAATAGCAGCATTGGTGTTGGAAAAGCACTCCAATCAGCAATGAACAAGGCAGAAAGTTACTTAAGCCGAACACAGTATTCTTCAAAAAAGTAAAATGAGGGTTGAAGCATGAAATACAGATAAATCCAAGGCAACTTCAGAAGGAAACTTTAGAGAAGAATAAAAAATCCTCTAATAAGCACCACAAAATTAGGGCAGCACAAACTAGGGTTCCAAGGACTGATAACCAAAGAAGAAAATACCCTAGGGCAGCACAAAAATTAGGGTTCCAAGGACTGATAGCAGTCGATTATGACAATAGTGTGATGCACCACAACCTGAAATGAGAAGTTTTCCAGATCAACTTGAAGAGAGGACCTGATGTCTGTTGAAGTTCCTCATTCAGAAGCAAAAGAAACTAGGTTCAAACTGCTGCGGTTGAGAGAGGAAGAAGCTAGACTGTTGAGATTCCTTAATCTGTGACTGTTCAAAACTGAACCACAAGGAGAAAAGTTGTTGCCGCCCTGGAGAAATCAATACACAGATGGAGGAAGAAAACAAATCTGCTGCCGCCCAAGAGAGAAGACCA